CCTATTTCTACCTATCTTGAATTATCGCATTGTAATAACCGCAAAATAGAAACTGGATATATTTGAATGTAAAGAAGGATTATATCTCTTTCCTGTTGCTTTATAAAGATGATAAAATTAGGACCAACTTGCCCACAACTGAAATTATTCCCTTCTAATCAAAACATTTACCAAATAGATAATAGCAATCGAACAACAAGAACATTCAAACCACATCCAACATTTGGAATACACAATGTCTTATTTAGAATTACGGGCTGCAACTCTCGTCACAGAACAACGCGAAAATTAGCATTCATCCCAAAACAGGATATGTGCAACAGATGCTTAGCAATTAATTTCATCCAGTTCTGAAACATTTCCCAAACACGCGTCAATCTATATGGAATATAACATGATTTTGAATTAATTTACTTTTGCAACGAGTCCAGAATTTTCAATTCAAATTTATCTCGGCAAATATTCTCAAATATTAACAGTTATGCATCATACGTGAAGTAAAACAAGCGGAATTATTTTAAATGGCCCTTTTTACAGTAAGCAGTAGTAAGTTGATTTTATTTATCTTCATAGTAGGTTTTAAATGCATTTTTTGTTCAATCTCCGTAGGACACCAAAACCAAAGTTTAAATAATTAAGTATTATTTCTACAAAAATAGCTTGGATTTTATATATTCTAAAATATAGGATAGCTACACCGAACGTGATTTAACTGAATCAATTTGAATAAATTTTGAAAACAAAAATGATTCAGCGATATGTCATTTATACAATGCTGTTAACTATTATTTATTATCTTTTAGCTTATTAATAGCGCATTAATTTATTTTGTCAATTATTCATATCGGGCCCATGATTGGCAATGATTCGTTTTTGCTTAATTTTTTGTAACTCTCCCTATCAAGAAAAAAATGGCAATGACTTGCATAAATATGTTTTAGTTGAGTATATAAAAATTGCAGATATTATTTTACCTTTTTCTAGCTTTAGTAAAAAATGCCAAAACAAACTGGCTAAGAATAGGTTTATTTATAAAAATATTCTAAAAAGTTGGGGTGTTAAGGGGTAAAGCTTTAACATGAAAATATCAAAGGAAAATATAATTAAGCAAATGCATAACGATTCAGAGCGAGTTCGTTATGGTTGTACTCTACTGTTTTACATAAAATGCACTTAAATTTTTCAGTTTAGTTCGTATGCACAGAAAGATTTATTTGCCCGTAGTTCCTTTCCGCTGTTAATAATATGAACTGAAATTTTTCATTTCCATCACTTTTTCATGTGTACAATTTTACTATAAAAACTAATTCGAGAATGCACTTTTTTGCTATTAGTTGTTAATAAACATATCGAATAGTCTATTCACTCCTTAAATGCTAAGGAGAAAGTCGTGGTATTGAGAAACCTGCTAAAAACGAACAATTTTAACTGTCTACACTACACAAAGCCTTTCTATAAAAAGTCTCGAGCTTATAGCTGCTTCTGGTTATCCTGCTTGCACGATTATCAGCATTATTCACGTTATCCTGCTGGTGCTAAGCAGGAGTTGTTAAAAATGTATTTACAAGTTTAACTAGAAACTTAAAAATTTATAACTATTGCAACAATTTAAATATTAAACGCTACTGGCGATTCAAAATATGTTGATCACGAAAGTGTTCATCCATATTGACCAGCAGATTTTAGATAAAACCTGTCAGCTAAAATGCTAATGTTCCGGGTGATGGTAAAGTTCAGTTCGTAATCCATTAATGGGAATTATTTTCGGGTAAACACATGAATATTACAAAACGCCGACATTGTTTTAACTAGTCTAGAATAATATGGATATTCACGTGGCTTGTTTGCAACTTTTGCAGATGACCTCACTAGAAAGCATCCAACAAATTTTGGTTGAAACGTTTTGTCGTTTATTATATAAAATTTCATAAGCTCAATAAAATTAACAGAATGTTTGCACTATTGAAATAAAATTCAGCAGTCGCAATAAAATTTTACATCCATTTTTTTTTATTTTAAATTTAAGTTTATCAAAACAGTGTTGAATGAAATCGGGTGCTTCAACTAAAAAGATATTAACTAGGAAAAAATATAAAAAATACATGTAATTTTAGCACAATTGTTGAAGAGGTCTACGAATTTATTACTTCAGTACCAAGTCAAAAAAACTACTTTCATTGAATTCAGACCAGAAAATAACATCAAAATGTATGAATAAGTCTTTAATGTATCTGTAAGAAAGACAATTTCAGGATTAATGTAACAAAAATAATATTTAGTCAGTAAGGGAGCCAGAATTTCGTGAACACCATGCGTGAGAGTCTATTGTAACAATATTCTATTGTATTGTAAAAATATATTATTTCAAAAAATTACCCAGAATAAAATTAATCAGAGAAGTTTAAAGTCATTTGAAGGTGTTGTCGAAAAAAATGTGTTGACTATCAATTCTACTTTTACATATAATATTTTAGGGTCAAAATTTAAAAAAAAACTATTCATATCTGAAATGCATAAGGGGCCTGTCGACGATATGGTTTATCTCAATTCACACTTCACACCTATTCAGTTAACAATAGTAATTCAATCAGCGTTCCTAAACAGAGGGCTTTTCCGATCGGAGATAAAACCCGTCATCTACAATGCAAATGCCGGAATCCGGATATCAGACAAGTGCAAGCGGATTCTATATCCGCTTAGTCTGATGGATTATTGCACTTTACATATATGAATAATATGATATAAATTTAGTGAAGCATAATTTTCTTACACGTTGCTGAAAGTTAATTTCGTTTGTTGTCAATTGATAAATGAAGTCAGCTGATACAAAATGAATTTAAATAAAACATACTAAATTTATTACAACACCATTCGATTAAATATTGTTTAGGAAAAAACGTTAAAAAGTAGCTACAATTAGATAATTTAAAAATATACATATAGATGTGTTTTAGTATGATACTAAAGCTTGAAACTTGGGAAAAACATTTCTTTTGTCAAATATTTTTTAGTCCTCAATTGTTAATTGAATTCTTTTTCGTTTGAAAAGATCTACAGAATAGTCATAAAAAATAGGCAGGGACAATTTTTATTAACTAAGCACTTTCTAGTGGTTCTAGTGGTTCAATTCTAAAAGTCATACTAATTTACCGCTTAGGTTATTTCATTTGAAACTGCAAGATGCAAAATTTCGATACAGAATATAATTCTCATAAACTTAGTTGAAATATTTATAAGTTTGGAAGTGACGTAGAATATTGGAGTTAAATGATTTTTTAGTGTTGGGTTTAACCTCGAGAAAACTTTTCCATGCATGTAAAGGTAAGATTTTTCATTTTAAAATGTATTCCAATTGAATGGACTCTGGAATAATATTTTTTCTTTATTCAAATGCAAGACGTATTTCACCAACATAATAGATCAACATTCGGATCGACACTTTAAAAATTTTGAAAGCATATTTTTTGTGAAGTCACTTTTTCACAGAAACTCCTCCTTAGACAAATTATCTAGAAATATTGGCGAAGCTAATCCACTTCCTGTAAAGATTTCTATGCCGACGTTCGCCTTATGGCTGAACTTATTAGGAAATATAAAAGCAATTAAATCAGACAATGTTTTTGGAAACGACAATCACAATTTTAGTTCTGATTTTTTCTAGTTAAAAAATTGATGAGCAAGGGGATACAAAGAAAATAGCAAGTCATAGGACGTTACACTGTTAAAACATACTTCTTCAAAAAATGGACCCATTTTATAAGTTATAAAAAAATAAATAAGTCGTAAGATTTTCAACAAATACAAATGGGAGTAAAAAACAATACGGCTGTTATTCTGAATTTAATTTCCAGATGTAACTGCGATTATGAACTTTAATAGCATAGCAAATCCAAAGATAGCAAAGTCAATAATTCATTCGAGTGAAAATAAGTTATTACACTGCCACAAAAAGTTGTAGATAACTTTTAATACAGTTTGCCACACTCTTAAGGTGTGAGTGGCTTTGAGATATTTTCAAGATTTTTTTCTCATATACGTTCATACTTTTCGTATCTAAAATGGATAATGAATCTATAAAGATTGACAAATAGTGTGAGATACGCCAACTACTTTTGTATCAATTATTTTTTAATTATAATTAAGTTTCACAAGCCTTTATACATGGTATATCGGGGCGTTTCGAAAGTGATTCCAGAAATTAATAAATTCAACCTCACATCATATTCATTCACATAGATTATGCACATACAATGCCATAATGCTATAAACCATCGTGCCTTGGTTAAAAAAAAACATTTTTTTAAACGGCTTGTGCTAACGAGATGAAAAGGACGGCCGCTTTAAAACGAAATTAGTTCAAATCAAATAGTTCAATTCTAAAGAATTGAAGTTTGTTATAAACGCAAAATATAACAATATAATTACCCAGAAAATCGTCTAAGTGCAGCGCATGTAATGAAAATTTGTAATAATTTACATGAAAAATTTCCTATTAATAAAGCGCACCGGATTTTAAAAATTGTATGTAAAACATTTAGAAAATATCTTTAAAAAACATCTTCGGAGTTTGTCTTTCAAGAAGTTTTAGCTTCACTAAGAAACATCATTTTGGGATATAATTATAATAACCTTTCTTACTATTTAATCCCTAGATCTACCTCAAAGAACTTATCGATGTTATTACTGGCCACCTGGAAACTTTTTTGCTCATGATGAGGCTTGGAAAATGCTCCGTAGGGGAAAATGGACTATTTCGACATGAAATTTGCATATTTAATACATGTTAATCCAAAAGAAAAATGTTTTCGTGCTTTTTACTCAAAATAGATTGGAAACCACATAAAACGAGTGGAACAACAGGGTAAACAACATTGCTATAAAATATATTTTTTTAATTTATTAAATTATCAATTTTATCCATAACTAAAATTTAAATCAGCCACTTCCAACAATAAATTCCAATAATAGAAAATGAGAACCACAGTTGCTCTAAAACTTACCGGCACAGTTTGTTGAGAAAAATCCGTAAACTATCAAAAGAACAAATGCTAATTTGGCAGTCATATCCACTTGAATTATGAACATCCTGCATGCACGAGTGAACTATTCTATTGAGAAAGTTTTTACGGCGTGTTGGAGTTTACGACGTCATAACGATACTACAGTGGAAAGCTCAACCACGTTGAAAACGTAAAATCGAAAAGGCGGCTACGTCCTCCCTTGACGATCTGCGGAAATAAACTGGCAGTGGAAAGCACGTCTAATGGAAATTTCTAGCTGTTGAAGTAGGTAGTGTTTTAGAAGAGTTTTATTTCGCATGCGTTTACGTGTTTTGCGGTTTCAGACCTTCTCTATGCGGTGGTGGCTTATTAATATACTTAAAGTCTTCCAAGCCAACTTTGAACTATCTTTATGTATTAAATGTACCTGGCAAGTAATGTAGGAAACCTTGGTAATTAATAAGTGATGAACTTCGAAGTGAATTTAAATGCAGGTGTTATAGCGGCTGAAAATAAGTTTTTCTTAATTTATCACTGGCACCTTCACAGGTAGAAAAAATAAATTTGTTCTGATAGTTTCGATACTGCTCCGAATCTTTATCTATATATTCTACTAAAATAGCTTAGAGCCATAACAAATAGAATCTTATGGTGATAAACTAATATGCCTTCTACTTCGTTACATCATTAATTCCAGTTTGTAATTATTGATGTTTCCTTGGTTTCTCATAATTCAAAAATTTGTATAATTCAATTGAAATTTATAAATGATTGAGCGTTTAAAGACAATTAAATTCCCTCCTCCATAACTTCAAAAAAATCATCAACATCACAAGTTTGGGTAGTCGAAAGCCGACAATTACGAATGTTATTAGATGCAAAAGTCGTCATTATGAACAAACTCTTCGAATGTTGCGCACCCTAGCACGCGCCTCATGCATAAAAATACTTCTTAGAGAATTAATTAGATATAATTTTCAAGTCATAGAAAAACCAAGACTTACCTATATCACAACTGATATTTTTTTATGTTTAATGATAGCTTTTCGTTCTGTGTTTTTTCTATTATGTTTATTATATAGGTATTTGTTTTATATTGTTATTTCCTTGTAGTTTTAACGAAAACATCAATGGAAACCATGAACTCAACCGCACAAATAGGATCTGCCAATTTACACACCATTTTATGCATATTATTTTCGAATTCCTACATGTGGTGCTGTCTTCTGTTTTAAGCCTTCAGCAATGACAAATATTAAAAGTCTAAATACGAATAGAAGTTGCCTTTAGCTTTGGCATTTGCTATTCGACGTTCATAATTGTATATTTTTTTTCTATCTTTATGTAGTTATTAATTTTTTTTCTTATATGATATTTTAGTGTTAATAACCTTTTGTTTTCCAATGCTTATAAATATTTCGTCCGTATACCTGCCTAGAAGAAAAGGGGACCAAATCTACCGATGCTAGTTTTGCGTCTTTGAATTGTCATAATTTGCATATGATTACAAAATGAATTAATTTACATCAAGTTGCTTTATTGCTATTTTTTAGACGTTTTTACTGATGAAATAATATTGAATTTACGGTTACATTACAAACTTTCGGCTTGGTCACACTCACTTCGATACCGACAATGTGTGCTTTTTAAAACGATTATATCGTTTCATTTAGTTTAATAGAATATCACAATTTATGATTTCAATCGTATGATACAGTTTTGCTGAACACGTCTCAAGGTAATACAAGAAGTGACGATTCAGACGTGCTTAGGACATCCCTGTACCTCGTTTAGGGAAGTACGTAATTGTGACATATTGCCGTGATAATTACGTGTCGATCTGACAAGTATCGGTGGCTTTGACTTACATTATTACGTATTTTTCACGTGATTATCACATTACATCAAACATAAACTTATAAATATGAGTTTTTAATCCCCATCCGGCTTTGCGACATACAAAATCAGGCTCGCTCTAATTCGCGCAGATAGAAGCGGCACATGCGAAAGAAGCATATTACCTTTTCAGCAAATGATCCCCTTCCATTTTGATTCGCATCACCATAAAATCATTATTCAGTGTGGAATAATGGCATACCATCATTTTTTAGTTTTCACTTGTCACTTTTTTCACTTGTTTTGAGATTTATTTTAAGGGTTCATTTATCAATAATATGTTTAATTCCAAAATTAAAATCAATTCCTGGGTTCTTCAGTCATTTATTGTTCATTTATCAATTTAAAAAAACGTAATGTTAAACGTAAACGTAAAAATACTCCAAATACATGCCAAGGCGTAAAGTAGCAACAACGCTACACATTAAAACTGATGATGGTGGAAAACACCGAAACGTTTTTTTAAATTGATAAATGAACAATAAATGACTGAAGAACCCAGGAATTGATTTTAATTTTGGAATTGAAACACAGTCAGGAAAGTACGTACAATATGTTTAATGTTTCTTCAAAATTTCAGGATTATCCGGTTTCTGCAAATTTACTCTTTTTTCTAAATGCTCAATTTTCTGAAGATTCACTTAAAAAATACTGACAATCTTGAGGTATTTTTCGCGAAAAATTATGAAATAAATTGAGAAATAAGCACTCGCCTCCTTCGTCGTTTTGAAAAAAGTTTTTAAATCCCTTTCCGGTTTGGAATTTTGGACAAAAATAAAAAAAAATGAAAAGAAACGAACTGAATAAGCAAAAGTTTATAATAAATTATTTGGAAAACTTGTCACCTCCATTCCTGTGAAGACTAGAAGAGCTTGTAAAATGAATGTGGTTTTGTAGTTTTGATTGATTTTTTTGTTTTACTTTCTACTCAAAAATGCTCTATTTTGTAGAGTTTCACTTAAAAATACTGACGATCTGGAGGTCTTTTACGCGGAAAATTACAAGATGAATCTATAGTTTTGTAGGAATTTTACGAAAACTTTTTTCAACGTCAAATATTAGTCGAAATTTCTCCCGTTTTTCCCGAAAATAATTTAGATTTTCTCAAAAACCGATTTCAGAACTAAGTGTTTAATGAATCAGTTTTTTTTACCTAAAATGACAAAATTTGCTTCATTCATCGGTTTGCAGGGAACTTTAGAAAACCCTTTTCTGCTTCGAATTTGGCACAAAAACCAAATAATTGTATTTCGTTTTTTACCGAATGTAGTTAAGATTATTTTGAAAAAACGGGCACAGAGCAAAAGTCCTCAAAAAAATTGTTTGGAATATTCGCTACCCTCATCGCTCTGAAGATTTTTCAAGTTTTTTTAAAAAATCAGGTCATTCCAGATTTTCTTTTTTTCTTTTCGGCAAACTTTTGCATCTTCGAATTTTGGACAAAACCTGAAAAATTTCCTTGAACAGAACAAGTGAAAGTTTATAATCAATTATTCGGAAAACTCGTCATTTTTGTCGCTGTGAATAATTTGGTTTATTCACATTCCGGTTTATTCACTTTTAGGTCAATATTTCTGAGCAAAACTTTCTCTGAACAGAAAAGCGCGTTTTTTTGTTTTAGAATTAGTTCCACTTTTCAGTCTTTTTCAATTTAATTTTTCCCGTTTTATTCAATTACCCCAATAAACAGCACTGAAAACTTCAAATTCTACAAAAATCAGCTCTCTGTAACCATAACTCGCAAAATCTTGCTAGTCTTCCAGCCAGGTAAATAAGCACCGATGCCACACGTGGCAAAGGATACATTCAGAAAAAGCCGTTACAGCTGGCACAAAGGCAACATCGCGTATTATTTGAGGTTGGAATTTGCCACTTGACAATCGTTTGAAAGAATTTATGGTTTAATTCAGTGAATAAACTTTTTGTAAAAAATAGTGCATATTTCATAATGGAAGGACCTGACGGAGATGATCTCTTAAAAGTTCTGGATAGTCTTAATATAGATCTAGGAAATATTAGCTCCAACCCCAATGTAATCAATGCCTGGTTTGATAGTGATTGTCCTGATACCAGAAAATTGTTAAACTGGATCACTACTCTATCTCCGAAAAATTATGTGTCACCTTTAGAACTAACGGAGTAAGTATTCATCCAAGTAGATGCCTGGTAACAGTGAGCGACTGCCTGCAAAAACGCAGACCTTACAACTGTAAATTTTCTAACTAGAAATGAGGTTTATTGGAATCCATTTAAGTAGTAGTCCAAGTTATTTAATATAGTTTAGGCACTTGGCTCTTGAAGCAAAAAGCAAAATAACTCTCTTAACTTATGGTAATAGCCCATCATTCTTAGTAGACATGGACAGTTAATATATGATGCTCATAGGTCGATTCGGTGGAGACAGTACAATTTTTTCATCACGTTTCAATGTGGTTTAATCCTGCTAAATACTACTAATCAATTAACGCGAAAAGAAAGCATACAGGCCCATTCTACAAGCCTCACAATTACAATCTCGGAGACAATTGACGCTTTTACCTCTATGGTCTCAATTTATGCTTTGCCCCATTATAAGCTCTTATATCTTATATTATCATATTAGTAGTCATTGATTGTTAATAATTTGAATAAAACACCATTTAAATTCAAGTTTCATTCTGTCATTCTACTGATTTTAATTTGGTACTAAAATATATTTTCCTTTATTACATGTGCGGATTTTCCAGTTACCAGCAGTGAAATTTGTCAATTATGAAGTTAAAAATTAAAAAGAAGCTGCATTTAATATTTGCCTGCAAAAATCTACTATTTTTTTAATAATTCGAGGCATTTACTAAAATTCTTTGAACGTTTGCCATTACTAAGAAGGGAAACAACTATTTTACATGTGACGTTTAAGAGTAATAGTACGAAATACGTAATCAAGTGATTTTCTGTATTGTTCACTAGTTGTATTTTATTCAGATTCGAGATGATCGAAAATAAGCTAAGTGCCACGCAATGTGCTGTGGAGCTTCGAAAGCTTAATGATAATTACATCTCTATACTGAATACAAATTTGCAGTCAGAAGAAATATCATATATTGCCGATGAAATAGCTTTATTGGAAACTGAAAACGAAGGACTGAACCAATTGGTGAAATACTATGAGTAAGTTGCGTTTTTGAAGTTCGATATGCTTGCCGTTTATCTATAGGGAGTACTTTAATTGAAATTACGACTCTGAAATTAAGTGAGAGACTGGTATATTTCAGTTCAAATAATTTCGAATAATTTCTATTTATTGATAAATCAAAAACATATTTTCATATGTAAACTTACATTCAGTCATCCTCTACGACACACTTGTGAAATATGTGAATATGTAAATTCAGAAAATCCACCGTCTATCGAATTTAATTGAGTTTTTCAGTTTTTCGTTTATAGCAAACAAGCCAGTTGCTGTTTAAATTGTTTAAATTTTCAGGCGGAAGCATAATAACATATCTTTAGAGCTTAGTCGCCAAAACCAAAAGGAAATTAACTCCAATGTGGCATGTAAAAAGTTACAAGAGTCGTGTGAGGAATTATGCGACAAACTAGATAAGTCTGATATGAAGTTACAAAGCTTATTCAAAAAATGCGTAAGTTAGTACAATTAAGTGCCATATCCTTGATTTCATGTGTTTATGTGCTTTTATAACATTATTTCAGAATGCAAATATTAATTCAGAATCCCCAATAATTGATAACTACTTCTCTGAGGATGTTAATAATATCAATTTTTCTTTGGCTCCCATCATTGAAATGTGTAGAGGTGCGATTGATGAATCTGATGATTGGTGGCTGGATACAAAAGAGACATATAGAAAAAGGTATAAAAACATCTGTGTTAATTTATGCATGTTCTTCTGTCAGACAATACTGCTATGAAATAATCTATACGAACTTCTGTTGCCTTAAAAACAGTTGTTATTCGAAAAAATTAGTCCTAATTTTCTTCTGTATTATTGTAGGATTTTTTGTAGCCAACAGAAATATCTAGGGAATAAAGTGGAAATAGAATCCTTGGAGAAAGTGTTGGACTATTTATATCAATTTAATATACGTGATTTATACGAATGGTAAAAATTTCAAGCACGCTATTTTTCTCATTTCATAAATAATTTGTTAATTGTTACTATTAGCCTCAGTTTGAAAAATGCGAAAGATGATGTGTATGAAAATGAGATGTCTGGAGAAAATTGGCGTGATTCTCTTTGTAAAATTTCCTCAAATGTTGCTAATTATCATATTCAACAAATTCAATCACAGGATACACAACGAAATTTAGAAAGATTCAGGTAAGTTCTTTTAGGGAATTTCTATAATGATTATCTAGATAAGTTTGGATTTTAAAAATGTTATCATCTCTGTTACAAATTTTAAACTGCCCAGCTATCACACATTAGCCATATTAAAAACATCCAAAATAATAGATTTTTGAAGAAGAAATACATATGTATTGCTACTTTATACAAGAGAATAATATCTGAAATTTAAAAATGTCTTTTGAAGTTATAATATTCTCATTAACACAATTCGATATTTATTTCAGGAAAATATTCCAAACCGTTTCCAATCTGATTACAAATATTACCCAGCGCTATTCATATTACTTGTTAACTATCTACATTCAGCTTCAAGAAAAAAAGCGGGTTGAATTTGTAAGTGAAATTTACAGGACAGCGCATACCTATGTTTCAGAAGAACTAAGTATGTGCGAAGTTAGAACGGTAAGAAATTTAAATTGACCTGCATACGTTTGTGTTTGTAGAGTTAATTCGCCACTAATATTGAGTGGTTTTACAAAGAACGATTTGTATTATAAGTAAACTTTTAGTAAGAAGAAATGTTCATATAAAAAATAAGGATTTGGTTTTTTAAGTCTACATTTCTAAGATTACTATTTGCTTGCTGAAAAATGTGGTTTGCAATTTGAATAGGTCTAAAATAAATATTTTCTTTGATTATGCTTGAGGCAATAATGGCTTTTGTATATTGTATAAGGAACAAATGGAGCAGATTATTGGAGAATACAAATCCTATATGCAAAAGCCAATATATGAAAGATGGACAGTGTTATCATCAATAGCTAAAATGTTATCTTGCGATGACTGTACGTTAACTTCAATCGTAGACGCGATTGGAAATATCAAGGCTCAAATAAATACTTTGGAACTGGCACTATTTACTGTTGATATGAAAAGTGAAGATATGAAGGCAAACAATTTGTAAGTTTAGTTGTTATAACTTCATCTTAATTAGACAGTCATGTCACAAAAATAGTTGCTTACAGGGTGTAATTTAGGTATAAACAATCTAATATATTGCTAATAATATACAATATACCACTATTGCAATTTCGATTCTAGATATCATAACATTAAAGTTCTAAAGGACTTTTTAACTTCCGGTCCTACTTATGGGATAATCTTAGTACCTTTAGACCTGAGGAAATGTTGGCAGATGGTTAAGAAACATTTGCAAAAAGAGTCTGAAACTGTTGAAAAAGCTGCTCGGATATTCAGAGAAATGGTGAGTGAATTTCTATATTTGTCAAAAGTCCGTTGTGTAGGTATATTCTTACGTTCAATGTAACAAATTTACTGTTCTACATGACTTCTCCTTATACTACGTATTTTAGAAGAAGTCCATGACTGAGGCTAATAAATTGAAAATACAGCTGTGGACAAATTTCTTAACACAACCGCAAAAATTAGACTCAGTTCTGAAGAAGGCAGAAGCTGATTTCAACCAGAGAAATACGAAATTTTATTGAAATGCTTAGGTTATTTACGTGGCAAAAAATGTAATCTCCATAAAAATTGTTTATTTTTGCACAAATTTGGTCAATAAAAATTACATATACTATCTATAATAAATTATGTATAGTTCGCATTGTCGTGGTCGATAGTTTCAGAGTCAAACTCTTGGCCGAAATGGTAGTTGGGTTTAATATCCGAATCTTTATGGATATGGATTGGATTATTATAATCTACATTGAAAAACTTCATAGATTGATCAGTCAAACCTAAAAATGTATAACCAGTCCTACTTAATTCGTGTCAAGTAATTAACAAAAAATACCTGCTAAAGTCTTATTAAATCTTTCCACAATTGCATCTAGTTCTTCTTGCTTCAACTTAACCGTTACTTTGGTGCTGTTTCTATCTAAGGATCTTTTGTTTCTGGACAATAGTGGGAGCGTAAACTCACTCTCAGATAAAGGTGTGTCATCAGAACCAAACCCCTATAAGCATTATTTTAGAGGCAATATTTATAAAAGATTTTCGTCTACTTACTAAACATTTTCCACTAATGCAGAATGCCTTTTTATCGGTCGATCCTCTGGAACAGTCCGTTCCAAATGGGAACCATCCGTCTTCACCATTAACTAAGTAAAATCGATGAGAGATGTTTTCATCCTGACAAGCCACGCGGCACGGCCTATCTGGATCCTCTGCACACAATAATTTTTAATTGGTATATTATTTTCTCAAAATGGGGGATTTTGAGTTTTGTTATTTACCGAGTGATGGTGAAATCTGCATTCCTAATCCAGATAATCGCCTCACCCTGTCTTTGTATTTGGAGCAAATCATAGAGGCATGTTGAAAGGGACTTTTCACTTTGCCACATCCCTAAAAAAATATTGATAGCATTGTAAAGCAAGTAGTCTGATAAAGCTATGCGGAATTTATTTGATTTGAGTTTACGCAATCAAAACGGAAGACTTACATACTGTTCGGGTTGACATAACTGTATGCTGCTTTTACTCATCTTTTTGTTCATTACCAGTCTAATTCCTGACCCTGGAGAGATGCAATTGTAATGACAACCGCTGGCGCTTTTCCAGCGTATTGCACCTTCTCTTCTTCTCAACCCTGAATTGAATAAAAATCAATTAGTACAGTTAAAGATAGAGTTTTTCCATTTTCGGTTTACCTGTTCTCCAAGAAATTTCATTGTTGTCCTTGTCAATAGGACACAGATCTGGCATTTGTGTAAAAACAGCTTCTTCGAAAGGGTCGCACACAAATTCTTCACATCGCCCGTTGATGCAATAACTTGGGCGACCTTAAAATTAGGATTTATTATGAGGTAGATTTTAAATTGTGTATATTTGATTCAAAAACAGTTAATGGTTACATTTGTGAAACGTTGCAACAAAAATTCAGCCAGATTGCTTCTAAGTTCAACGCCAAACCACTCGTAACAATACATGTTCTGATTATAACACCCGATTTTTTTGGGCAAAATATGAGAATTTATGTCGGTAAATATTTAATTTCCAGGTGTTGAAATAAACTTAAATTAATTTCCTTTTTAATTTAAAATAAAAAAGGGGAGTAAGGTATTTTTTTCACCCATTAGAATGATTCAAGAATTACCAAATTTGTGCAGTTTTTGTGATGTTTGCAAGTTTTATCGTATTTTTGGATAACACAATTTAAAGCACAACTTTTTCGAGTGCTGAATTGTTTGCGGATCTCCAAATAAATATTTTCCGCTTTTTGTTGCTGTTGAAATAAAAACGTTAAACTCCAGGAACATTGGAAAGATTTATCAAATGCTTTTATATTAAGAACTTCTTGTCCTTGGACGTAAGTTTTTGGTCTTTGGAGGTCCAGTAAATATATCTAAAATTGAATCAAGAATCTTGTGAATATTGTCCGATTTATCATATTATACAGGGTGTCGCGAAAGCTCATGATCAAAAGGGTACTGCGATATTCTTTAGACCAAAAGAAGACGATCTGACCTAACTTTTATTAACAAAAAATGTCTGACTCGTCTGCTATTGATGGTCAAAGTTCTTCAAAAAAATTATCTTTTTCGAAATATCGGGAGAATGGTTCGATGTATTTTAATGAAACTCGCTGGGAATTTGTTCTTAGGTAAGACTCATATTTTGATGAAACAATCGAGTTCAGCCGTTTTGGACAAGTGGTGAATGCTTGAGTGTCGTGGTACAAAAACTACCAGAACTTTTTAGTTGGAGGATGAAATCAACTCATTTTCTTTTAGGTTGATGCACTAATCATTTGTTTACAATTTTGTGCTCTTTGTAAAATCTTGTAGCATTCATAGTTTTTACGCAAAAAAATATGTCTGTTTTCTAGTCACTTAGCAATGCTAGTGTTTAATTAAACCGAACGGTCAATCACGGAGGTGGCTCTGATGTTGCACTTACTATAGAATTAATTCATGTTATGAACCGGGTTAAAAAAAAGTTAGTCTGCTTAGTTAATTCTCAAACTTACCGTATCTATTTCTCCTTGTTTGGCATGCTGTTCCATCTGGAAATGTCCAACCTCTGCTCTTTGTAGCACCATTGCGCTTCTGACACCAAACCACACACGCTTCTTCAGCTAAATTAAGTAGAAACAAGGTAAAAACTGACAAGTAAATGTTTTAGACTATGCCGAGTGGTTCAAATTAGATATCAAACTTTTAAATGTTTTTTAATCATTTTTTTATTATAGAAATACGGACATTTTTATTCGTTCATTTATTGACCATTTATTGATTCATAGGGGTAAAATACTTCTGATTTATTTGGCCGCAAAATACTCCTCCAATGAATCATTTCTGCTGAATTTACTCCAGTTTTTAATTTAATCATTATCTCGTATCTAGTCTTACTCAAAAGGCATTATAATACATTGTTATTAAGGAAAAGTTGGAGCAAAATAATTATTTTTTACGAACACCTGAATTGATACGCACGATACGACTTGAACGCATGATACGTCTTTTAATGTAAGGCGATATTTTTTTATATCTTCATCGGAAAGACACTACAAATATAATCGTTTCAACATTTACTTACGATCAGAGCTAATCTTTTGCATCCCCGATCCCGTTAAATCTTTATCCACTTCTTTCGCTCGAGTGCAAATTTGCTCAGCAAATTCTTTTATAGTTAGTCTAGGAACATTTAGGCATTGTTGAGCGTTGCAGGTCTGATATTTGCGTTCGAGACCATCACAGTTTTGACCAGTACCTTGAGGGCTGAAATTAACTTATCAGTAATTTCTTTTTATGGGGCGATACATGGCAAAGTGGTTTTTAATATGAATAAATACAATAATTTTAATGCAATTTGTTACGAGTTTTGAAGTGTTCAGTATAGTTTTAAGGAATCGTACACAGAGCAAAGCTGAAAATACTCATAAATACTAATTTTGAATGAAGCAACAAACGACTTTTTTAGATCTAAATTTCTTAACAATGAAGGCTTTCACGGCCGGTTAAATCACATTTAGGAATGTTTTCCGGGCTTTGAAGCCGTGGTCTATAGGAATTTCTTCCTGACGTTTCGTCCACAACTGCGGTGGACATTATCAAAGGCGATGAGGCAGTAGGCGAAGTGATCTCCCGTGCTTTCCGACTAAGACTAGAATGATACGGATACAGTCTTAGTCGGAAAGCACGGGAGATCACTTCGCCCACTGCCTCATCGCCTTTGATAATGTCCACCGCAGTTGTGGACGAAACGTCAGGAAGAAATTCCCACAGACCACGGCTTCAAAGCCCGGAAAACATTCCTAAATGTAAATTTCTTAACGTTTCTACGAAAATCTTAGAGACTGTCCTTTTACCTTGGATTATTGCACAATCTCTGCGACACAACAATTCCAGTGCTTCCACTTCTCAGCCGTCCTTCTTCTCCAAACAGACATCCCGAAGCGCATTCGCTAAGCTTCCAATCACCCCATCCGCCATTCACTTGACCAGAGTCCGGACTTTGTTTCAAAGCGCCGCTGTATGATTGTTTTGGAATGGATCCTTTTGCTATACATCGTCCACCTCGACACCACTACACAAAAAAAATGTCCAGTTAACTTTTTTGTATAACAGTACGTTGTTCAGTGCTTTTATATTCCAATATTTACCTACCATACCGTTCCCGCAATATGTTCCTTCCAGAGCTGGATGTGATGTCCAAGTGTATCTTTCCCTTTCACAATGTAAGTCTCTGCACACATCGTCCAGTGGCTGCTGAGAAGAGTGTTTGCTTCCTCTGCCATATTTTAGCATACCTAAAACAATGAAAAATTACTTTACAGTGAAAATGTGTAAGTGGATTTGATCAATATTGGAGATTCGATAAGAAACAGTTTCTTAACATAAATAACGTACTTACAATCAAGTTTTGGTTTTTGAACATTCAATAATTCCCAGGTAAGGGCTGGATACTCATTACTACTTACATTGCTGATCAGCATTAAATCTTTCTCCAGGCAATGCTCCTTCCGCACCATGATCCAACTGACCTGCGGAACTACCATGGTCAAGAAGGCATCTTGATTGAGGAGTGCTGAAAAAACAAGTAAGTGGTTTTATTATCAAAATAATAAAATTTAGCAACATTTTTTGCGGTGTTAATGTTCGACTAAAACAAAGGGGAGTTTGGGAACAGAGAGTTCACGAACGAAGAGTTTAAAACCACATGAAACCCTTGTTTTATGCCTTTTGAGTCACAGAACAGTTTTTTTTTTAGTCACTACACTTTTGCTTTGCAATTTCGTCAAGCACTTTAAGTCAGTGAAGGTTGTTGAACATTGTTTCCTATTTTAAAGATGTTTCAATAATCCTGGAAGGCAAAATGTAGTTGCCGACTTACTGATGACAGATTTTAAATTAAGCATAATGTTGATACTATTTATACGAAATTACAAAATGTGGACGATATTTGAAGCGGGTTGTTCTACAGAGTGTATGTTTTCATACTTTTTCGTACAACACCCTTAATTTATTTTCATATAAACTGTACCAGGATACGATGTGGCGATATAGGAAGTAAAGATGGGAATAACAGCTATATTTTGTAAGCGCGGTGGATGCTAAAAGCTATCTATAATCATATGGCGTGCTATTTTTAAAGCTGCTTTCATAAAGTTTGAAATCTCGTTTCAATATTTGATTATGGTGACAACATCTTTTTAATTAATATTTTGTTTAAATGGTTCAGTTAAATATTTTGTGTGCCCTTATTTATATATTAGATAATGCGATTTTAGACAATTATTTTTTAATTATTGACTGTTGAAAGTAAAAGATTCATTGTTTATGCAAATGTCTTCAGCAGCGGATGTGCGTTTCCAAATTCAAGGCCTCAGACAATCATAAAAATAAATAACATCAATCCGATATTGTTTCGCTGTTTAACTGACTGTCAAGTAAAAAATTCCTCTTCAAAGATGTATATGCTCAATATAATCAGAAGTATAGCTGGCGCTATTCATTACGGAAATACATATAGTGAACGATTTTATTAACTCATATTCCCCATCAATCACTATCAGGAAACCGCGAATGAAAATATTCGGTTAAATGTGGAAAAACTGGGGCACTTAAAATACTAATTAATTGGCGCTCTAAAACTAATTTTAATCTCTGATCTAACGATTAAAAAACTGAGAAAATGGTGTTTCGCTGGTTATAACAGCGTTTCCAAAGTGTGGATCGCAACGGGTTTTAGGAAAGTGTTGCAAAGTGTGTATTTGTACTTTTTTATGTAAATATATGCTGGAAACGATGTGTGTTTTCAATAAATAACATCATTGTGTAGTCCATTGTGCAAAGATTGTATTTGGCTAAAACAGTCGCTATAAATCTAATATAAAAACTATAAATGAAAGTAAATATAAAATATTAAAAAATGCACACATTTTTTTTATACTTACTCTAAAAACTTTTGAAGATATCTTTTGCTGCACGCTGACCATGTAATTTTGCCGCTACCTAAAGTTGGGGACATAATGTAACTGCTCGGATCACAATCATTATCGGCTAAGGGACCGTCGTGTCTCATTCCCAAGCTAATCAGAAATGTTAAATTTTTCCCGAGTTTTTAATGAACATTAAAATTAATGAAGACTCACTTGTGTCCAATTTCATGTGCCACAACGTATACACTTTCAAAATGACGACCTTCATTTACTGTGCAGCTACTGGTAGCTGTGCACATGCCAGCCACTGGCGCTAGACCTAAAAATTAAATACAGAAAATGGAGATTAAAAAAGTTTAAATTGTGCCCGCACTGTCGAAATTCGCTTCCCAAAAAGCGCTGAGACTTGAATGGGATTAAGTAGTTTATCCTGCATTTGTCAGTTTCCGGACAAACTCAATTTAAAAGTTACGACTAGAAGAGTTACGTAAACTGCATTTTGGAGGGTTTTCGTAACAATCAAATAAACCCGACGTGATATATGTAGATAGTTCTAAGGTTAGCTAAGTAGTTCATATAACTACAATTCGGAGGCTGAGTTTTTTAATCAAAGTTTTTCTAAGGAGTTTTCATCATTCAATACAAACATTTTATTTCGAAGCCAATTTTCAGTTGCCACTAGTCACAAACTTATCGATAATTTGAAGATTGCAATGAACTGAATAGATTAAAAAACCCCAAGAATCTTCAATAAGCAGAGAACCCCTGCAATCTGTCTAACCAACCAAAAATATCGTCCAGACTGAAACTTTCGCTATACAGTCGGCAACCATATGCGAATTGAATTATCCTGAAGTTTCCCCCATTTTTCTTCATTTTCCTCCGGTTCTACCCCAACAAAATCGATAGGGGATGAAAGTTTCGTTGAAAAGGGCTGTTAATTCTGCGACCGGTAGATTGAAAGCATTTTTCATAAGCGCCACAGCATACGCCCCCTTGTGAATTCAGATATTTCAGAAAGTTAAATTAGCATTTTAAAAAGTTTATTACATTTTGCTTGGACTGCTGTTAACCAAAACTTGAATTATTTAATGCCCTGGCCAATTGGCCAGAGAATATTTTTGGACATGTGGTAATTTAAAATCACATGGACGCGACAAACGTTGAGAATGTTAATGAATAAAGCAATAAATATGAGAAACCAAGATAATTTGTGGACAATTCAATTTAACATTATCACAAGTTGAAGCGAATATTATCAGAAACCCATTTTTTTGTTCTATTCAATTGTCGTTATTGTGCGATAAAGTCCATGGTAAAGGAACTAAAAAATGCATACGGGTTATTCAAGGTGAGCGATAAGCTACTTGGAACAGTTCCAAGTCTATTTGTCCATAGACATGGAAATTTCTATTACAATCTACTATTCCAATAACAATGGCGATAAATATTTAAATAATCGATCAAGATACAGGATGTTCATATATTATTGTGCATTTAATTACTCAAAATATTTACAAGTGGAATTTAATAGTTTTGCTTAACTTTGTTTATCATATAAAAGCAGTTTTAAAGATAATAGAATTGAAAATGTCTGATTACATTGTCTGAAAAGACTGTAAATTGTAATATTATAGAAATGAACTAATGAGTATTTTAATCATCAAGATAAAATGCAAAGAAATAGTATGCCGATGGCTTGTGCTTTAAATTCTAATTTTTTAGTTCATCAACTGTTAACGGTTAATCTAGTTTTCTTCAAAAGATTATAATTTTGGATTAAACCAAACACTGATAGAATATTTGAAGAAAACCGAAAATCTATTTGCTGATAATGAAATTGATATATTTATTGCGGCTTTTATACTTTGGCTCATATTGTCCGCAACACGTTCATTGTTCAGCGATACAAATCAGACTTTTTGTATCAGTTAAAAACACATATAAAAGTGCCTGCACCTTTAAACTGCTAAGTAGTTCTCAACATTATTCAAAAATATGAACTATTTTCAAAATATATTTGCAAAAGTCGCAAAAGTTAATAGATTTCAAATGCACATTTGTCGTTTAGTTGATGTATCTTTTTTCCGATTTTAAAGAAATACAATATTTTTATTTGGATTAGGCGTATTCACTTTCTTTATTCTATTTGTGAAATCGGTTATACAGATGAAGTTGCCATTCAGTGATTGAATTGGGTAGTACTACCATTAGTTGGCCACCAAATAATCCTGATCTAACATGGTTCGATAGTTTTATGTGGTTCTCTAAAGGATGAAATTATAAAGTAAGAAGGAAACGCTTGCATGCGCTTTGCGAGAAGGAATGGAAATATATATTGATTCGGTGAATAATTCAGAAAATGTGTTTTCAAGTCTAACACCTGTCATTTTAAATCTGAAAATTAATCTAAAAAATATATAAGTAATACTTATTATTATGACGTGCAATGTTTTTGTTTAATCATGAAAACTACGAATTGGTAAAACAATTATATGACAAATTTATTTTTTTTATTCCAAAGATTTGAAAATGTTTTAACCAAATAACTAGACTATGAACTGATCTAAAAATAGACAAGATTAATTCGAAACATATCTACTTTTTTTTAAACTAGCTAAGTTTGTTTGTTTCATCCAATGACACTTTATCTTGAGCTTTATTAAACTTTATGGAACAAGGATTCAATATTTAAATTGCTTGCGACTTGACCATTTTTGGTCCCAATGAAAACTCTCACTGTTCACAAATATGTATATTATGAATCCACTTCACAAAGGTGAAAATATGATAAATAATCATTTTCTTGAATGAATAATTTATTGGGTTAAAAGTAGAAGATTCTCACCTACGACTTGATTCGATATCTTTCCATGCTTTCCTCTCACGTACAAGTCGAGTCCGGTAAGTATTAACGCGTGGTCCCAATGCAATGGTTGTCGATCACCAACCGGATTTTGGTTTCTTTGCCAGTTGCAGAAATTGGACAGAAATCTGTCGATATCCGGAGGTCTTACCAGACCTGCCACTTCGTCTTTCATAATTTCCAGTCGTTTAAGAACAAAATTAACTGGTCGTCCTAATGAAGAGTCATGGTAGAGCAGTTGAACCTTAAAGTGTGGTTTTAATAGAATTATTTATATTATCGTGATTAGCTAATATTAAGTGCTCATGAATATCTTGCAAAAAAATCGGCCAATCTGTAAGATGGCCACCAACAACTCCTGATTTGGTTCCATAAAGCATGATGTAAAACATACTTCGGCCGAAAACTAATGAGTTGCAAATTTTCTCACTTAATAAGCTCATTTATATCAAAGACTTGCACCTAGAATTGGACCTGTTCGGGAACAATTGCTGAATTTAACATGGAATGCTCTTTGCATTTTAAAATTCGCCAGATTTAAATATTCTATGCACGGCGTTGTTGTTTCTGTCACGATGGGACAAATGTTTTTCATTTAAAGTGAGTTTAAAAAACTGCATGCATTTAGATAAAGACAAAATAATTAATCCAGAGTTAGATTTAAATCGTGTTACTTTTCATGACTGTAGGTCCTTCAATTTTAAAACAAATTCGTTTCCTGGGTTTCAGTCATTTATTTACTTAATTCCTTGAGAATCAAGCCAAAATTTGGCGTAGCAACATCGTATACACAACCAACTGATGATGGTGGAAAGAAAAAACACCGAAACTTATTCTGAAGAATGAAATAAACTGTAATAGCGAAGCAAATAAATGACTGAAGCCCAGGAAACGAATTTGTATTAGATTTAAAATACTTTGTTAATTGAATGTCCTTAAAAAGTGGAAAAGTTTTTTTGATTTTTAGAATGAAATGTTTTGAACGAATGGAAATGCTTTCGTGTTAATTGAAGGTGACGACTAAGTGGGTCATTGGTAGAAAATTGAGTATAAGCGGTGTCATCTTTAATACATAATTTATTCAGTCATTATAAAATAAAAATATATTCATCAACTATTATTTATTTCAATCGATGTATTTTTAATAGCGTTTTTAAAACCGTAGAAAGTAGTATTAAAAAAATCTTTATGTATGTCACTTCACGCCTTAAATCCATAAATCAAAAGTCTTAGTCGATATTTTTCAGTTAATCGTCTACACTCTACATTTGAATTTCCAAACTAGTTATTGAAAAATACGTGTGAAATATGCTTGAGTATGTTCCCAATCAAACCCAATCTGTTCTAAAAGTAATAAACTTGCTTCTTAATGGTTGTGATAGACGAAAATAACCACGAGTACTTACTGCATTAATCATAGCCAAGACAAATCGGGTAATTTCCCGCTCTGTATCCACGGGAAAATTCGTTTTCATATGTTCAAACAAATCTCGATCGACAAAAACAGCGGTTTCCACAAAAACGGTGGCCCCAGCAGGAAAAGTATCTCGCCTGCTTCGTTTCAATGTCCTATTTGATTTTTTTCGTTCAACAAACATCACTTTGGCTTTTATTTCTTTGGTTTTATTAGGCGATTGCAAATAGACCCCACTGTCAGCATGTCCGTCGTTTGTTAATTTAGCTCCATTATTCTTTCCAGCTTCTTTTGATGTAGAATTAACATTACTTACATCTGGCTCTATGCGAAGTTTATTTTTTCTACTTAGTTTATTCGAGTCTTTCTTTATGCTATTAAGCAGCATTACTGGGCGAAAATAAGCTAGTTTACTATTGAAATCACTTAAAACGTCTAATTTTTCTTTAAGTCTATAGTAGTCTTTGTCTTTGAAAGTCTCATGCGAATTTCGTAGTAGTAAATGCGGTATGTACGTCGCATTATGGAATCTGCTTGGCAGTGGTTGGATGGAATAGTAATGGTTTTCATCGGAGTGGATTATACCATTCTGAAATCAAAAAATAGTGTAATGCATTTGTAATAAGTGCATCATTTGCATCGTTTGTGTTTTTCAAAAAAAAACGTGCTTCAGATAAAGTTTCTACAGGGTGGCAAATTAAACAATGCAAAATTGCTGAAAGGTCCAAGTGCTCTCACTTGGACAAAAACACTTTTTTTTTGTATTTCAACACCACATGCACAAATACCTCATATTTCGAAGGAATTTTTTGAATTTTTCCCCGATCTTGTTTATTTGTAATGGTCTCAGAAAAATTAACATTTTGGTCTTCAGTGATATATTTTTTTCTCTTGAATCTATTATCAAAATATAAGGTTCATGTTCCAGCTAAAACTTTACAGTCAACTTCAGAAAAAAATCTATACGGCATTGCAAAAAGTAACGAAATATTTGAAAGTGAACTTTAGTTGAAAGTCTGCTAGAATCACAATGCAATTCTGATTTGAGTCATTTTTTATGCAACCCTGTATATCAAATTTTCGTCTTGGATTGTCTATGAATTTTTGGCTTCAACATCAGCTCTAGATCGTGAAAATCGGATCAAAAAGTTGATTTTTAAAAACTACCCTGTAAATAGAAGAGATCGCCTAAACATTCAAAAACAGTTCGCGCTATTTGGTATCTTTCAAGTTTTCTGTTAACTAAAAACGATTCTATCGATCTACCTAGGAACATGCGAAACTCCGAAATTTGTCTGAGATGCTTAATTTTTATCAAAGCATTGACTAACAAAAAACAAATAGTGCTAAATAACGCTTCAAACAGAAGCCAAATTACTTGCAGCAACTAGAATTTATGCAGTTCCAAAATTAAGACAAATTTGGTTGCGTACCGTTCATTTTGTTGAGCAGTTTATTTCTAATTTAAATTTGTTTTCCATTTAAGATTTTTGATAATATGGAAGATTTTCACACAACGTCCAATTATAAGAAGCCAATTAAAACATAATTGGTTCGGTTGTGAACGTTTTTTATATTTTTTATATTTTGATAACCATATCCAGTGTCATTATTTTTGTTGGTTTATTGCTTTCGTGTTGATTCTTTTCGAAATGAAAGTACTTTATTAAGTGCATATTTTATTTTCAATATTTTTGTCCGTATAAAATATAATAATTAAATTAAATGCTCACGTTTTAATTGTAATTCTCTTTTAGTTTCAGCACTTCACTGTATGCAAACGAGTCATTTATTTGTTCTTATATGAACATTCTCCCGCACGATTGCATTTATTTTGCGATTGCATCCTATTTTTTACAAGTTTATAATAATAAGTATTTTTTTTTCTATTAAAGAAAATAACGAATTTTACTTTTCTAAAAAGCTTTGGGTTAATTTAGAAAATATGCGGAATAGCAGCATTTAATGAATGTTATATGATTGATTTGATAAAACAGTTAAAATACCCGAATAGATGACTATGAAAAAGAGTTATAGTAAAAGCGTCAAATCTATTTAAATAAAATGCAAATACAAAGAACGTACAATTGAGACACCGCAAGAAAAATGTGTGAAATATGGTTAAAAGATAATTGAAAAATGTTGCTAAAGTTAATTTTCTTCTGCTAAAGTTAATGGAAAAGTTATATTTATGTGATTGATTTTGAATTACGTCACAATGTTGCCTTTAGAAGAAATGGGAATTTCAGTGTCGTTTCGGTAAGAATTAATTTGACTGAAAACGCAGGAAGTTCGAAAAGCGTTAAACAAAAAGGACGAAAAGGATTTTCAAATTATTATCGATGTATAGGTATCTAGAAATTAAGCCAGAATCTATGTGTTTTCAAAAGTACTTAATTATAACGTGTTATTGTTTCGAAATGATTCTTAGAACGCAATTACAGCATTGTAAAAACCTTTCGAGTGTTTATAAAAACACATCATTCGTCTTGTAAAAACTAGTCATTTAAAGTGCATATGCACCCAACTATTATTAAGTCCTTATCAATATTTCGAAATAATTCATATGTGAATGAATCCACACTCCACCTATTTAGCAGAGAAATTTTGATTGCACTGTTTTGTTTAAACTAATTTAGACCAAATGAGCAACAACAATTCACCAACGTCTGCATTAAAATTGTTAATTGATTCAAATTAATTGACAGCCAACACAAGTTAAGCCCCAAAAAAGGACTAACGATCTCCAATACATTTTTCAATAATTAATTAATTAGCTATTTAATAATGCTTACCACTCCTTTGCATAAACTAACGGCAGCATTGGAACCCTGAAAATAACATCTGAGATCTTCGTCCATAAACTCAAACGGCACTGATCCATTCGGGTAAACTTCCAAAACCATGAAATGATCAGATACCAGATTGGGAGTTGGAAATAGGTCGAGATCGAAAGTGCGCCCAAAACTTGGAGCATCAATTTGTAATTTACGTTTTACAAGTGGCTTTTTCCGATCGTGTTCGTCATTCAATGGAAAGGAATTCACGTAAGTGACAGTAAAATTTTTACCTGCAATAAATGCACCATTCATTAGTTGAGGTGAGTGCAACATACCATTGCACTTGGCTTATGAACAGTAACCATTACTTTTTCCGTCTAATCCTATATGCATTGTATGCAAATAAAGCTGGCAAGAAAAATGCAACTCTCTTTTATGACAGGGCGGCACAATAGCAATTTGACGAAGGATGGAGAAGATCAAAGAACAAGAAAGTTTATTGTCTTCTAACACAAAACATACCGGTATAAATTAGATGCATTGAATCGGATCCCATTCGCTTTTAATATACTGCCTCATGTTCCTGACAAGCTATTATTATTCATTGCCTTCTCTAAGGAATTCATTCAACTTTATGCATTGCAGTTCGCTTTCCTTACATTACCAATAACACACGCTTGCTGATATCAAATATTAGTGACTTTGTCGAAAGCTTGAACGAGATCTTGAAATTTAAATATATTGATGGCATTATCACATACGATGTTGACATACATCTACGATTTACATACGATTTTAGCGTCCTAGTCTATTAAAGTGTGGACAAACATATTTGAAAAATACCACTTGAAAATGTCGGTTTATAATTCTATCAAAGTCATTGGCTGAATTAAAATAGTTCAATTTTAATATACAGCATAATTAATAAACCGAGCTTCCATACAGGAATTTCAAATCGGAATAAAATAGCTATCCATGCATATTAATTGCGCCCAAAATTAACAATTTAATGAAAGCCAACAGAAGAATCTGGAATTCAATATTATATAATGCACAAGCAGGTAATCAGGCTATCCGAACAGAATACTTAAATAGTTAAAATCGGAAACAACTGCAGTTCTGCAACGAATCAATTAAGAGCATCTAGAATTTTTTGTCACTTAAAATATATAATTTATTTATTAATTGAAAACGGTTTCTACTTAATTCGACTTAATGCTGGGAATAATTGATCATATTTAAATTAATTTACAGGTGCAAATTGGTAAAAGTTTACTTAAAATGGGTAATTGTATTAGTTTCAGTACTTCCCAACAAATTTCTTTTTGTGTATCATAAATAACAATTGTCCAGTATATTAATAACGGACTGCAGGATTTGAAGTAGTTTTATTGTCCTGGGTGTGTTGTAACCAAAGCCGGAACTAACCACTATCTTAAGCAATATTCAAAAGGTGCGTTAGTAAATGCCCAAATCGATCAAGTGGACTGGCAAAACGAAGCAACAAGCAATTTTATTCAAATTGTAACGAAACCTTTACGAACAATATCCTGAAAACAATTAATCGTGTTTTCTATTGTTTCAACTGAATTTCACACAATTAACCGTAGAACTATTTCATACACGTTCTAGAGGAGAAAACCAATATAGAATAAGCGGATTAATAATCGAACTGAAAATTAGCAGGCCTTTGTCGATGATTCCTTCAATTATAATAAATTAATGAAGATTTTGAAAAAAATGGCTATTGATTTTATGGAAGCCAATCGCATAAATAATATAATAGGAAACTAACAACTAGACTAGAAGTAAATAATGTGTCTAATGACAATAATAAATATTTAATCTTGTTGAAATACTTATGGGATTGAGTGGATTGTCTTGTATAGAAACTGAACTAGAAATGCAATAAAATGATTGAATTAGGCACAATAAATATGTGCATTAAATTAACTGTAAAATCAGTTCATTTTAGAATTGTGTACAATTTTTCCCAATATTTTCTAATAAGAACTTTTTTCAAACTACTTACTATCATCTCCCACTAGTCCATTCCATTCCGCTTTAGTTAAAATAGCTTTAAGATCATTGTCTCGAATCTGAAAGAAAAACCAGTCAATAATTATCAAGAAGATGAGTTACAAATTATGTACATCTAAAGTTTGATTTTTTATGACTTTTCAGTTCATATTCAATTTCTTATGTTATATGGGATACAAAAAATGTCGGCCAGATCGAGAATTAAGTAGTTTTAAATAGAGACGAGAGAAAGCGATAGAAATGTTCTTTAGAGCTGAAATTAACGCAAGCTAGTGCTCTACGTAGCTAGTAAGTAATTGAATGAATCAATTCTTCCAAACGAAACTTTTGGGCTGAATTATTAGATAATTCTTCGTTGGTACTTTGGAATTATAACATTGAAACTTCCGGTGCATAATTAGAATTTCACTTTGTACCGTTCTATAGCTTTTGACAAAAATTAAATAAAGTGGCTGATGAGAACATTATATGGAAAAAGTCGTACTGAATCAAGAAAAATAGAAGAAGTAACTCCGAAATTTAAACATTATTTAAATTAGACATACATACTAATAAATCTCAAGTTAATGATGATTAGACAAAGAATAAAATTGCTGGGTACATAATCCCATTAACCCACCGCTAAATATAAAAACTAATGAAAATCCTCCATTTCAACCACATTTTTTAACATAAACCTCCAATTGCCTCTGAACAATTTATTACAAATGCCAATTTAACTATGCATAAGAAGCTCATTAAATTTAACAAATATGAAAAAGACTTGAATGAAAATTATCGCATTTTAACCTTCGTGGAAGATGGCATTCACCTCAGAAATTCGTTGGGGTCATTGTTTTCTTAAAATTACAACAGCAAGCATCTCAGAAGAGTCATTTGATGAGCCAACAGTGCATTTGACAAGCAGTAATTTAAAGACTTAAGTGACAGAAAAATAATATTTTGTACTTATAATTAGGAATATAATTTGCTTTACGTGGACCTTGAGATTATTTTAGAAAATCCAACTTGGCTTGGCGTTCATCACTGACCGGCAAAGAGGCCAATTATGAAAATCCATTATTAGTTTGCGGACAGTATAATTGAAGCATTAAATGTAACTAATAATTAATTAGTAAAGGACTGTATTAGCCAATTGGCAATAGAAAAAGTGTGGATTAAGATATAACGAGAATTTACCATAACAAGCAAAGAAAGTTTAGACACGATAGCGAAAGGTGATAATATAATTATCGAAAATATAAATACACTTTGCTTGAGCCTTGTAGAAGGTACTTTCCAATTAACTTCAATTTTTCTATGATAATTAGATGCAAAGTATTCCTGATTATTATTCCTGATCGAAGTTCCTTTAGAATAGCACCCGAAAGGATTTTGTTCCCGTTGTTAGTAAAAACGGTATAATGTAAAGAAAGACAGTAAACGAATGGAAACCTAACGGATCGTATAAGATAAGCATTTAGAAGATATATTTCCTGAACCATATCCAAACAGTTATTTCAACTAAAGTCTGATATTTAGAGATTCGAACGAATTTCCAAAGAAAAAAGTTTAAGAACAGATAAATTGAAAATTTTCTCAAGTACATCTTTGATTTTGAAAGTTAGATATTTTTCGCAATTGTTCATTTAATGTATGCACAATCATTTAATTTGTGTCATTGAAATCACATTTTTGAAAATTTCGTGCACGTAATTACAATAAAACACACACTATTATGTATCACATTGAGATATTGAACCTGATTCAAATGTCCCCCGAGGTTAACAAATTATTAAAAAGTTTATTTCAATATTTATTCATCCGTTCACCGCAGTTATTATAGGTCACACACCACGCATCAATTTTAATTCCCTCTACTTCCGATTGGTTTAAATACAGGACGGTATCAATGTTTTTTGCTAACTAATAGGAAATGCTGTTTAAGGTTAACATGGGGCCTAAATTTGGACGATTCAGTCCAATTCTCCAATAGTTCAATTCTCCTGACGTTATGTTATCTAGGCAATGTTAAAATTAAATTATCTGGTGCAATTTATAATGTCTTCCCATAAGAAAATACGTGAAAAATTAGTTCAATGGGCCGATCTAAGTGGGTTTCAGGGGACCCAGTTAAAGTCTACGTGAATACTGTTTTTAAAAAATTTGAGTGTATTTTTCGAAAATACTAACTCTTGAAGATGCACTTCGAGACACGTTTGCAACGTTACTGCAAACTTGTGGTTAGTTTTTCATTATGCTCTTCAAAACTTCAAATGTATAACAATGTCGAACATGCATAAAGTTTATCTTTCTTGTGGAGGCTTAAATAGGCGCAATCGTCTAAATGAAAGAAGGGCGGAATTTACAGTGGGTTGTTTATTATAATAAATTGTGTTATTTTGAGAAAGTAAAAAAGTGGTTGAGTGTGAGTCGAGAAAAACAATTGCTCACCTTTTTCTGCTTCTCAGAATGTTGAAGAAAATCTTCAACTTTTTTCACGAAAAAACTGTGTGAGACGAGATCCAAAAATAGTAGGCAATGAAAAGTACGAATTCATGGTCTCTCTCTGTTCTCTTTTTAATCTCTTTTATTTCACTTTTACCTTTGTTGATTCGTTTTCACCATAACTTCTTCGTCAGAAGGAATAAATGGCATTCTTACTCTCACCTGAACTAAAAGAAACTTAGGCAAAGAACCTTTCTTCTCAGCATTTTTGCGATATTGTTGCGAACTCATGGATTAATTGATTCAATTGTTTGGTAATTATGTTTTGTTTCGTTTCGTGTTCAAAATCATGTATATTTGTTCCTTTGATCTTGAAGTCGCCGCAAATTAGTTGTGCTAAGAGTCAAGCGAATGGTATTGATGAATGAATTTGAATTGAATTTTCAAAAAGAACAACTTTTTTTGAATGTTTATTATTTCAGTTCATGCAATCAATATTTGATTGAAATTCGTTTTCAAATAATTTYAAGTGTGTGGGAAACATTAAAATGAGCCTTCTATAGTTGTCTCTTGACACCAACATTTGAGAATAAGAAATAAATTGAATGAAATAAACCTTCTACTAACAATAAACCTTTAGMGCTGGTCTTCCTAGTTTTCGGCACATTCAGAAAAATTGCTTTAGTTTSAATCAAATCTTCTAATGCAAATTCCAATTTCAATGAAAAACAACACATGCTGAATCCATTTCTGGTACTATCGTGTTAATTCCCCGCGAAAAGAAGCGGATATACAGTGTGTTTGACCCGTCCTCCAGCACGCTGGGTGCTCACGGATAATGTTAACCTGTGCCAAAATCGCTAATTACCAAGGTCGGACACCATTGTTATTTCAACACTTTAATCGTATTATTAAAACGCTCGACAAACGCTAATCATTGATTTGTGAGGTCTCTAACCTACCCATCAGCGATAATCAATCATTGCTATAGATTTGCACTTAACTCAGTTGATTAAACAGAATTGTGCATCTCCAACCTATTGTTACTGCTTTTTTAGTAATGTAGGCTTCCAAAACAAAACAAAAAATTTTTAAATTCTTGAAAAGGCATTTCTTTAGATTTTAAGGATGTGAAATCATTTGAGAGAACTTATAAATTAAAACCGCTCGAATGTAGTAAATAACAGCAATCGATAATAATATGGGTTACTTTTACTTAGTTTTTTACGTAATTATTTGGTAACTAGAAAATGTCAATGCTAAGTTGAAAAAATCAGGTTTTTTTAACATGTGTCTTACATAAATTTTCCAATCAACAACTTTTGAGGCTTGATAGATTTTAACAATCAACAGGTCGTATTTATATCGTAAAAATGTCATAATACTCAGTAATAGCAATAATAATTTGCTTCAATTGAAAGTTTCATTACAAAGTATGAAATTAAATTGTCTTCTTCTCACTAAAAGAAAAACATCCTTTCATATCTACCACAAATTTCAAAATAGTGTTTTTGAATTAATTTAAGCTAGCAGTTCCGTTGTTGAGTCTATTCGGACTGAATGCTGCTGCACTTAATTCGCTTTTCTGGTTTTAAGTCTCAAAATGCAATTTAATATTTTTTTGTACATGAACAATGGGTCTGAATTATTTTTACTTATTTGGAGGATTCTGGCATATTTATTGTTGAAGGCTGTGTTGTCAAGGCTTTCAGGATGGGTTTTAAATTTTAATTGCCAAATGTAATAAAGCAGGAATTGGTATTTCAGTTTAGCTGTTGCCTCTATTTTTATGATACCTGAATATAAAATTAGCAAGTCTATCATCAGCATAGTAATTTTAAGACTTTCCAGTCTAGTTCACATTGGGGAACACCCTTGGATACTTCCATTTTTGCTGGAAAAGTCTCAAGAGGTCTGCGCCGATATTTTTAGTATCCCCTGTTATGTTTAAAAAATATATTTTAACATTCTAATGAACGGTTTAGTGGATACTGCAAGTGTGATTGCTGTTCGCTTCTTATTACCACCCTGTCCACTTTTTGTTGATCCAACACCCCATTTCTAGCAAAACTTCACAATTTCTACTTGAATAGAAGAGGAGATTTTAGAACTTTGTAGTTATTGACAATATTATAGCAATTTTACATATAATGTACTTTATTTATTAAATCAGTACTTTCTTATTATTATTCAACTATTAATTAATACATTTTAATTTGTCTAAAAAGTTCTGTTAACTGTCAAATTGTTAAAATAGAAACACTTTAAAGTAAAACTATGTATAATAATAAACCCAGAAAAATTAAAGACTAACGTGTAGGTAGATGTATAAATAAAAAAAGTAGGCTTAATAATTTTTTTATTAACATATTGTACAAAATTGTTTTAAAATGGATATTTGTTTATGACTGGTCACATTTTTCGCACGAAATGTATCTAAACTTTTTTTTAATTCCGAGGAAGACGGTGCAAACAAAATTTTATTAGATGTTGAGAGTTGTTAACTGTAACTGATAAAAGAACAAACCAAAAAAGAATATCCTTAGGCGTGAGAACAAGAATCCCTTATCCTTACGAAAACAAAAACTTTCATGTCTTAATTAACAGAGCAGAGGGAGTGGAATCAACTATC